TGCTGCCCGCCTCCCGGCCGCCGCACCTCACCCGCCCCGACTGCCCCATGCTGGCGTCTACTCCACGAGGACCTTCCTCCAGCCGCTTCCGGCGCCGTGCCGTTCACTTCCGGCGCTGGAGAGTGGTCACGTGAGGCGTCGCTGCGCGATGACGTCACCATATGGGTATACGCACCAGGTAGCGTGGTGGGGGTGGGGGAAATCATTGATGTATTGCTATGGAGACGCTTGGTGCCTGTTTCCATGGAAACCGGGGCGGGGCCGCGCGGCTCCGGAGCTTTTGAGCGCTCCGAGAAATGAAGCGCAGGTTCGAATCCCGCCTCGGTCATTTCCGCCAGCGGTGCGATTTTGAGAACCAATGTCTGCACCCCGAGGCTTCTAATGTATCCTAAAGTGAATATGATAAGTCATTTAAGCCCTGCCTCGTGAATTAAGAGAGACGATGTACGTACGCCCAGTGCTTGGCACACTGGCACCAGGCTCTTGGGGAGCAACCAGAAAAGGGGGTAGCGCCATGGCCGATCACTCATTTGGGCCCCCAGCTCCTGAGGGCCCGCTGTCCTCCCCAGAGGGTCTTGTCTGCACACCAGCCGAGGATGGAAACTCCACATCACCTCTGGAAACTCAAAGCGATTCGGCGCTTGGTGAAAAATTCATCTCCGGTTTCCGCTCAAAGCCCCAGTCTTGGCCTCAGGCCTCTGGCTTCTTCCCCAGAACCTTGGGGTGAGGGGAAGGGATGCCCCCAACATCTCTCTCCCTGTCCCATTTGCTTCCTCTCCCATCTGCCTTCCCTCCCCCAGCTGCCTTCCTGCTTCCTCTGTCTCCCCCTCCCCAATTCTTCCCCACTTTGCCTCCTTCCCATCTCTGTCTCCTCCCTGTCTCCCTCTTCGCCAACTTTGTTTCTGCCATCAATTCTCTCTTTCGTTATTTCTTTCCATCTTTCTCCTCTCTCTCTCTCTCTCTCTCTCTCTGTCCCTACCCCATTTCTCTCATACCCTCTCTCTCCGGACTCCCCATGTCTCCCCATTTCCCCCACGTCTCTCCCCTTCCCTGTCTTTCAGACTCTCCCTTATGTCAGCCTCTCTGTCACTTAGGAGGTTTTTTCTCTCTCTGCTGCCAATGGGGGAAGCTGGAGGGGGCTGCGGGTGGGGGGCCCCAGTCCAGGCTGGGGCCCAGCTTGGCAGCCTCTCTTAGATCTGGGAGGACCATTTCCTCTTTCAGCCCAGGAGTCCACTTGGGTTGCAAGTTGAGGACAGTAGGAACGGAACGCAGGAAAGGCTGCTGGTGGAGGAGGCCTTCGCACGGGTTGCAGATCCCAGACCTGTGCTCTGGAGGCTCTGTGTGAGTCTTTTCGTACCCCTGAAAAATGGCTGGATGATGACTTCTGCCTGTTTCTGTCCCTGCATGACTTTCCCAGTGTGAGGATGTGACAGAGTGTGACAGTGTGTGGACAAATGGAAACACGTGCACTAGGGTGTGGGTGGGGGCAGGTATCAGTGTCTCACTATACAACCGGGAGCACACGGATCTGCATCTCTGTGCTTGTCAGTGTGTGACCGCGTGTACCTGGGTGTGTGTCTGGCACACAGGTGCAGACACAATCAGTCCACAGGATCTTTTCCTTTAAGTTGTGATGTATATGTGTGTGTGTGAACATATTTTGAACACTGCTGCCTGAATCTGTGTCCTGTTTCCAGTTACGTCTTTGGAAAAGGCGTGTGTATGCACGTGCCAGGCAAATACCCAGACACACACGCACACACAGATTCTATCTGTCTATCTTTGCTGCTTTGTGCAGCGGTCTGCGTGTCTTGTTATGTGCACAAAGGGGTGTGTGACTGTCGCGATATATATGTGCAAGTTTTGGAGCCAATCTGCTGGGCCAGATCCCACTGTGGACCCTTTTGGCCTGTGGGACCGTGAGCAAGTCACTCACCCTCTCTGAGGCTCAGTTTTCCCTGTTGCAAGATGAGGCTACGCATAGAAGCCAGCTCAGGCTGCAAGGATTAAATGAGATAAAAGGTGTAAAGCGTTTAGAGTCACGCCTAATGCACAGCAGGTGCCACTGCTGACATTGGCTGTTGTCCTTTTCTGTGCATGTGCATGTGTCTGTGTCTGATGCTGGATCTTCCCGGCTTCCTGGGGCCTGCAGCCTCCCACGCTCTGTGTTCTGCTACGGGGGGAATGTCCAGGGCACTGACCTGTGTTATCAGGCTCTGGTGGCCTGGGCAGGAGGGTCTGGCAATGTGGCCTCAATTCTCATGCGGAAAATGCTAAATATTTACAGTTAGAGCTCCTGGGCTCAGCATCCCAGCTGTAGTCCCAGGCTCTGATGGGGGGCTGGTAGGGTTGGGGGGTTACCAAGTCTCCTCCCCCCTGCTCTCCCACTGGCCTCTTCCCTTCCCCTGCTCAGAGGCCCCTGCTGGACCCTTGGCTCCTCCTCTGACTTCTGTGCCTGCTACGGGCCTCCTCGCTGGATTCAGGATCTTGGTTGTGAGAGGTGAGAGGGCAGGAGGGTGGGAGGGCAGGTGGAGGCTGATTCTGTCCTGTGGGAGACCTGGGCCTCTCCTTGGCTGGAGGGCTTCCCCGGCCTCCTCCTCACCTCAGGCTGAGACCCTGGTAGGCAGTGGGTGTTACACACTCCAGCTCCAGAGAATGCAGTCCTTTTCTGTAGAGTGGGGCCTGGTGTCTTGGGAGGGGGTGGGCCTAGGAGAGGACCCTGCTCCCTGCTGCCCTTGGAAGCTCCTGCTTGATGTGTGAGTTTAGTCGTGAACGGGCCTTTTCCCAGCTCAGAACCCCTCCTGGTTCTCACATGAGTTAGAGTAAAACCCCAGCCCTCCTGGAGGTTCTCAGGGTCCTGCACACATTTCCCCCTCACCTTTCTCTTCTTCCTTCCTTCCACTCTCCCCCTCGCTCACTGTTCCAGCCACACAGGCCTCCCTGCTATTCCTTGGGCCTATCAAGCAAGCTCCCACTCAGGGCTTTTGCACTGCTGTTCCCTTTGCCTAAATGCTCTTCCCCTTCTCTCTCTTCCTTCAGGTCTTCATTCAAGTGTCATCTTCTCTTTAAATAGAGGCCTGACCCTTCTATTTAAAACACCCACCCCAGCCCAGGACTCCCACCCCTTCCCGGCTTGAGGTTCCTTCTAAGTACTTATCACTCTCTGACCTGTCCATCGTCCATTGTCCATTTTCCCAACCAGGATGTCAAGCTCATGAGGGCAGGGATTTTACTTGAGGTTCCTTCTAAGCCCTTATCACCCTCTGACCTGTCCATCGTCCATTTCCCCAACCAGGATGTCAAGCTCATGAGGGCAGGGATTTTGTCTGTGTTGGTCATGCCTGTGTCCCCATCGCTTGGAACGGCTCCTGGCACACAACAGGCGCTCAGGGAGTGTTTGCTGAATGTGTGAACGAGGCAATGTGTGTGATGATAAAGACCATGGACATGTGCCCGTGTTGCCACCAGGACATGCGGGTTAGGTCATAGAACTTAGTACAGAGAGGGGTGATGTGCGGACACGTGAGATGTGTTCTGGGTTGGCAAGTGCACACGGGAGTCAGGTGTGTCCCCATCTCAGAGGCTGTGAACCCAGGAATGAAGGAAATGGGGCCCTGTTGCCACCAGGACGTGCGGGTTAGGTCATAGAACTTACTACAGAGAGGGGTGAGGTGTGTTCTGGGTTGGAAAGTGCACACGGCAGTCAGGTGTGTCCCCATTTCAGAGGCTGTGAACCCAGGAATGAAGGAAATGGGGCCCGTGTGTGGACCCTACAGGGTCAGAGGTGGCGGCTACGAGTACACAACCTTGAGTGAGGACACTCATAGGAGGTCACCTGTGTAAACTGGGGAACACCTGGGGGACACAGCAGACCTGGGGCATGTGGGTGTTGGGGTGTGGGTGTGGCACCAGTTTTGATGAGGACGTGGGAAATGGGGTATCCACTGCTAGACTGAGTTAGTGAGACTTGCCCCTTACCCCACCTCACCCCCTTCTAACCATACTTGCCCTGCTTCTGTTCCAGCCTCCTGAGGTTCCTTTAATACAGCGGTTCTCAACCTGTGGGTCGCGACCCCTTTGGGGGTTGAACGACCCTTTCACAGGGGTCGCCTAAGACCATCGGAAAACACATATATAATTACATATTGTTTTTGTGATTAATCACTATGCTTTAATTATGTTCAATTTGTAACAATGAAAATATATCCTGCATATCAGATATTTACATTACGATTCATAACAGTAGCAAAATTACAGTTATGAAGTAGCAACGAAAATAATTTTATGGTTGGGGGTCACCACAACATGAGGAATTGTATTAAAGGGTCACAGCATTAGGAAGGTTGAGAACCACTGCTTTAATACATCAGGCATGATCTAGCCTCAGGGCCTTTGCACATGCTGTTCCCCCTGCCAGTGCTGCTCTTCCCTAGGCATCCCCATGGCTTCCTCTTTCAGGATTTTGTTCAAACGTCACCTCTCCAGCAGGTCTTCCCTCCTTTCAACTTACTTCATGTTTCTCTGATCTTTATCTTTAGCACTGAGTGCTATCTAAAACACTTTATTAACCTCATACTTTATGTTGTTCCTTGCACACCAGGCAGGAATTTTATTTTGTTTCCGACTATATTCCCAGCGCCTTGCACTGAGGCTGGCACACAGTAGGCACTAGTGAATGTTCGCTGAACCAATGCTGCCCCGCAGGATGCCTGGAACTCAGTGGAGAGGCCTGGCTGGGATCCCATTGTTAGGTAGCCTCCAGCCTTGGGGTGGGAGGACCGAGGTGGGCCTGGGTGGACCCGGAGCCACGCAGGTGTAAACACACGCATTGGGAGCAGTTGGATT